AATTCACTAAGCTCTATAAAATAAAAAAAAATTATTTGAATTGAATTACTGGATAGCTAGAAATTTTAATTTTTATTCATAAAATCTACAGTCCCGTAAGGTCATTTTCAAGGCAAAGACCCAAATTATTTAATACTGTAATATACTGTATATACGTATCAAATTTATCGCTCGATGCTCGAAATTTTCGGTCGATGCCCGAATAATTATTCACCGATTCCACTCTCTATTATAAATTATTTATTTAAACTTTTCAATTATATATCTTAATACTGTATATACTGTATAATATATATATATATATACTTTTTTAGTTTAAACAAAATATTTAATTATCTTAACAAAGAAAAATTATACCGTATTTTCGCGAAATAATGAATTTTAAACAAGTCTTTCACACTCATCATTATTAGAATAGTTTGATTGTATATTATGTAGTAGCAGTAGTTATGTTGTCAAACTTTCAGAACTTTTCAAGGGTACCCATCCGGGTAATACGTAGTTTAGGCAACATAATAGATCATGTGATAGATTCCACTAGCCAATAGCAAAGCCTGATATATAAAAACGTCATTTCTGCATTTGATGCAATCACGTCCAAGAAAAATAAACATATTTGTGTTGTTTTTTGGTTTTAAAAAAAGGCATGAAATTGAAAAAACCAGCTAAGTGCATCATGAAAACTAATCAAGAAATAGTGAAAGACGACGTATCAATCTTTAGCGACGCGTCTCTAAGGAGATCTGAATCTATTTATAATGACATTAACGCGCCACATTATCGAGACTTTCTCAATGATATAACTTTTGGAGAAGGAGACTCTTGGTTTGGTATTTATCAAATGCTTGAAAAATTGAAATAATATTTGAACATACTGACATTAAATTTATGAAAGATAAGCAAAATAATACGACCATATTATCATTTTTTGAAAAGAAGGTCGACGATGTTACTACAGTAATACAAGTAAGACTTATCTATTTATCATTCTTATTTTTTGAATAAATAAAATGTGTATCTTTAATTATTATATCGAATTTAGAAACAACAACCCGTGAAGAAGTGCGTTCCAGAACTAACGGTGCCAAGGCCGTTCAAAATTCAGAAACGCCAACCCGTG